GCCCCCCCCCCCCCACCACCCCCCCCAACCCGCCGCTGCCTGTCGTCGATCCCTAACGCCACCCGGGGCGTGTCGCACACCTGCCTATCGCCTGCCCATCGCCTGCCCATCGCCTGCCCGCCCGCAGCAGCCAGCCAGATGCTCGCCCACAGGTGATGCTTTGTGATGGTTGAAGCAAGAAAGACGTCGTATACGCCATGGGCGACATAATTTAATATTGAAGCACATGTGGACCCAATTGTTTTATAAAAAGTATAATTTTTTTAAAATAAAAATAAAAAATACTCGACCAAACATATTTTATATTTTTTGTTTTTAAAAACATATAAATAATAACAGTACCAAACATGTTTTCTAAAAACAGAAAATAAAACAAAAACAAAATAATTTAAAAACAAAATCAAACATAGAAAATAAAAAGTGATCCCAAAAATGCCTTAACCAACTTACTAGCTAATTTCAATAACACCTGCATTAGCACTCTAAGAGTTGCATCTTTGATGATTAATGACCTGAGACGATATAGCAATCAAACACTAAGCTAGCTAAACCTCATTTAAAATTTTTGCCCTAACCCAAACATTGACCAAAAAAAATATCTCATCTCATATAAAGAGTTCTTTCAGACACTAAACTTGAAGTGCTTGAATCCCAAACAATGGAATAAAATTCTTGAAGAAAAAATCATGAAAACAAAAGTGGAAATCACTTAAGCATGAAATCTCTAAACAACAAAAATCCTTTGCCAAGGCTATTATGTGACAAACATAAAATTAGATGATAAACTATTGCAAAGGAAAAAAAAAATTTACATCACGATATCCTAATAAAAATTATTTCAAGGCAGGTTTAAAAATCATTGAATCTTTAAGATTACTGCTATACATACGAAAATATAATTATTTACTAATCTCAAAGTAAATCAAATAGGTTTCAAATTATCCTAATATAATCTATATCAATATATCCTGATATAATTTTTATTTATTTGCTAACAAGTACAACGCTACCAATGACTTTGGCCTAATGTCACATCAACCAATCTACCACAGTTTCCATCCCACATTACTTCAACATTAAAGGAATAAATTTCAATAGCCCTTTTCTTCCAATTTAATTTGCTCTTGCCCTCAACGATTATTTTTCAAAATGGATTAAATTCATCCAAACATGCAAGGTCTAATAAAGTTTCGTCAGGCAGACATTCATGGATCTCAGCCTACCCTGTATTTCATTAATAATAATTTGCTAACTTCATTAAAAAAATAATAACAATTTTAAAGCTCACTTCAATAAATTATTCAGCTAGACTAACAAGCAAATAGAGGTGAAATATAATCTCAAATATTTTGAAGAGAAACGAGAAGATAGAAGTGCAGTGTGACTTAATGAACTTATTTTTTCTGTAGGCTTACCAAACATCCCCTCTTCACAGTGACATGAGAAACTACTCATTCAATGGAATTTTCCACTAAAGTAATGATTCAGTTGAGCCGATGCAGCAATCTTCCTAAATTCTTGTGGTCATGTAGTCTTTTTTACTTTTGCAGCCCTTCAAAAACAA